CTGCCGCTTCTCTTCCCAGAGATGTGGTCTGGTCGTAGGGTTGAATTAAACACAAGAACATTCAATTGGATACGGAATACAACATAGTGGAGTCAAGGTAAAACAAAAATAGTTCTAGGTCGCAGAAAGGACAGCGCAACGTGTGCCTCGCATTGATTAGTCAGACGGCTTGGGAGTGACGCGACGCGACGGGGTTATGCGACAACACCAACCCACCACGCGGCACCGATTCGGGGATATCGGCAGATCTCCTCCTCCACCCCGGGCAGCGAGGACATTCAACAGGGGGTCGGCAAAACCCCAAAAAAAGAACAAGAAGAGCCCGCACGGCACACGGGGTGTGGCAACAACCACGCCTAGACACATTTGTCTCCCTGGTGGCGATGTTTAGGGCATACTTCGGCACGCTGTAGTCTACTTCTACTTTCGTACGGCCGATGTAGATGACAGAGCAACAACGACTGCAATCTCACATTCAGGTGGCCAAGCCACACCACCGCGTCAGGAGCCGGCGGAATCGTGCATCGCTGTGATGTCTCCTGCGCATTTGTGGATCGGGGCATTGCGTCGTTACGCGCTGTACGATTCTGTCCTGGATGACCACAGTCGCACCACTGCTGCTGGAGAGCTTTAAATTGTCCAGTCGTGCATCGGCGTATCCGCATCTACTGCCATGGTGAGTGCAGTGGATGCGGTTTAGGGTGGACCGCGAGCTTCGCAGAAGATCAAAGCCCAGGTGGATCTTCTGCGTTGAGATCCTTCACCAGGGGAGGTGCCACGCTGGTCAATGCGGGTTGGGTGAAAGGGTTCCATCTGTCGCTGGCCCAGCGCCCGTGCATAAACTTACACACAGATGTCGCTTGCGCTATGCAAGCCGGGCGTGCTTGGGTTCAGTATTTCAATGCCCACGGCGAACATCAGTGGCGAGGAGTGCCAGAACCTGTTCTGGATGTCCCCCACCCAGTGCCGGATTATCCCAGTAGCACAAGTGTAGCTACTACATATGTAGTAGCTACACAAGTAGCTACGGGCCCCGCACTTTCAAGGGCCCCGCGCTAAATGCTTACAAACTATCAATTCCGGTTCAGTGATTTTGCACTTGCACTATTATAGTACTATACTGCCTTCAATCTTTATGAACGCCTGGGTGTTTAAGGTTAGCGATTTGTCGTATTATCTGGCTGTGTAGCAAATGAAAAAAACAATGACTTTACTATGCAAGTAAAACAATTGTGGCACCTCCTTTGCCAGTACCAAAATATGAGAATACGTTTTTCCAGTTTTATTTGTACGCCTTTTGGCGTCCTCTGGTCTAACACCGTTTGAGACGAGGCTCAAAAGAAAGCTGTCTCTGGTGTGGACCAATCAGTTTCAAAGACAATGTATATATTATCAGAGTATTTTTTTGTTTGCATTTTGACTACAAGTATTGTGGTTAATGCAGACATGATTCAGTGTAAAAGGTTTCAGTTTGGTGTTTTAACAACACCATTTTGTTGCCAGATAATAGGGGAAAAACGTATTCTCATAAAAAATGTTTTAATATTTATTTAACAACATATGCTACAGGCCCCGCACGAGCTTCATCTCCGCCTTCAACCATCCCGCACCAGACTGCTGAAAATGGTCAAACGACACCCCCCCCCCAACCTCATCCCGTAGGGGGTTTGCAAAGCAGCAGTAAATTATGCATTTTTTTGTTTGAGAGGGATACCTTCAGACAAGACGTAACGGCAGGCATACAAATGCAGACATGCAGTCCGACAGACAGGCGGGCGGGCGGACAAACGCGAAGACATTCACAGAGAGACAGGGAGATATGGAGACAGGCAGCCAGCCAGAAACATCGGCAGACAGACGTCCCGGCAGGCAGACTGCAGACAAACACATAATCCAGCAGTGGATTGACACATATGATGGGGCACGTGCAATAAAACAATCGTGTCTATAAAGAGTGCTGCTGATGCCAATCGCCCTTCCTCCACCCTTACCCATTGCGCTCCCTCTCTTCCCATCTCCCAGTCTTCCCCTCCCTCCCTCCTTACCCATCTCCCTCCCACTCCTCTCTCGCCGTCTCCCTCTCCCCATCTCCCACTCTCCTCCCCATCTCCCACTCTCCCCCCCATCTCGCACTCTCTCCTTCCTTCCTCCCTACCCATCTCCCTCCCACTCCTCTCTCGCCGTCTCCCTCTCCCTATCTCCCACTCTCCTCCCCATCTCCCACTCTCCTCCCCATCTCGCACTCTCCCCCCCCCCCCCATCTCGCACTCTCTCCTTCCTTCCTCCCTACCCATCTCCCTCCCTCTCCTCTCTCGCAGTCTCCCCCCCCCCAACATCTCCCACTCTCCCCTACCTCCATCCCTCCTTACCCATCTCCCTCCCTCTCATCTCCCAGTCTCCCCCCTCTCCCCCTCCCTCTCTCTGTGGTGGGAGCGCGTGGAGGAAATTAAACGATCTTCAAATAAACACGTCCAGGCGAGACGGCGGTCGTGCTTGCCGCTCCTCGCTCGGAGAAATCATCGCTCACGCCGATCGATGTGCGCACAATCGCCGTTGTTTTACGAAGGCACGCGAATTGGACGCGATCCAAGGGAATGAATTTCTCACCGCGACGACCATTGCACGGGTCGTAGGTGGACTCGGTTCCCAGGGTAGTTCGCAGAGCAGTCGGGGGGAGTTTGACGAGCCAAAACTCACTCAGTTCGTTCACCGGGGCGGTCAGTCATCTCCTTATTGCTCGGCTATCGCTTGTACCATGGTTACCTTTATGTACGTTGAACTTCTTTCGCACCGTGAGTAGCCAACCCTGCTGTTCCGGGGATTATTTTGGCACCCGGTCATAGCCCATCTCGCTTTACTTTGGCTTCATACTTAAACAAAAAAGATTAAACCTCATATATACGGGGCACGATTATATACGATTACTAGTTGGCCCGTGGCCACATCTGCGGCATTAAAGCTACGCTGCTGCTTTCTGCACGTACGTGATTCTATGCGATTACCTTAAATCGCTGGGTAAGTTCAACCTCTATGAGCCCGGTCCTTTGACCTTTGGGCCTCACCCCTTCCTGATTCGCCCCCCCCCCCAACTTCTGAAATTCAGCTCTGCGCCTTTCCTTTTTAGGACACGCCCCTTCTTCTTGAGGCCCCGCCTCTTTCTCTGTAGGCCCCACGCCCCCTGGACACGGGGTTGGGCTGGGCTGTGAAAGGTGGTGGTGGGCGGGGACATTAGGAGGGGGTGGGGCGGATTCACGAAGACCAAAATCCCTCTTGCAGCAACATGATGCGTGCCATGTACTCTCGTGGTAGTGCCTTACGCCGATTAGCCGTGCTTCAAAGCCAGCCTTGCAGCGTTCCCGAAAATACCGAGATATCAAGCCCTGGACGACCGATAATAAATTTCCACGAGAACCAAGGTGATAGGAACTGACACGGCTATGACAGAAAAGAGAACGACCTAGAGCGGGGATTATCGGCATAAGGCACTACAACTAGAATACAAGCTACGCCTATTCATAAGCATCCGGGGCCCTTAATTTCTGGCAGGTTTATAGCAATCTAGTGTACACGATGAGGACAAAATCATTCGAGATGGATGTGGCGTGCAAAAGCAAATTCAGCAGCAGAGTTCCACACAGTTCGGGCTGAAATAAAAGCACCGTCGGTGAGAAAGCTCGCGTCAACTCAAAAGACGGCCGCAGCGGTGCGCAGCAAAAGCTCCCGAGAGAAGACATTGACCACGCTACACCACTACGAATGGCTGCGACAAAAACCTACGTGCCGAATTCAGGCGATTCATTCATTCCGTCTGGCGAGCGAGGTGGCCGCGTTCCGGCAGGATGTTCCGCACGGCCGTCGATCTGTCAAGAGCGACATGGGAAGTCGTCGTTTCCCGTTCCTGTGCATTGTTTAAACGCTGGCGCGGTGCAAAGTGCACGGACCCTGTTCTAACCCTCCGCGACGGGAGACAAAGATTCTCCCCGCCCCCCGCCCCCGACTCCTATATCCTAACGCTGGTGGAGCAACTGCCGTTGGCGAGCACCAACCGAATGGCAACGACCACGAAGGGGGTTGGTTACGGCCAGCGCCACACCCGGTCGGTCTTCTCCACCGACCCACACCAGGTGCTCGTCGACGCATTGCAGGCCCAGGGCCGGTGCAAGGTATTCGTCTTCTATGTTAAGCCGTGGCCAACTCACAACAGCGCCCATGGTCCACGTGTAAATGTGTACATTTAACCGCGAGTGCTTTTTAGAAGTGCTGTGGATATGGGATCGGGCACAATTCACACAACCCCCTAGCAATTTGATGATTTACCATCGACTCAATCGTGCGTCGGCTGGACAAGCGAGCGATTCAAGGCGACGTTGCAGCGAACACAACCACCAAATAACTTCAACACACCATCTGGACACGTGTGTGGCGAGCGGCGGAATCAATGGTGACGAATTAAGCCATCTATCGTCGCACCTCCTCTCCGTTACACGGGTGTCAGTGATGGGATGTTCACGATGAATCCGCCGATGGCGGAATTCTCCCTGGATCTGCCAGCGTGATCGGTTTTCTCTCGTGCTGTGTTGTTCTTCACTAATTTTCAGAGGGGGACCACTTTCGGCATTATCAAGTGAGAGGGCTGCCACACATTTCAAACTATCGGGTGACAGCACGATGAGGGCGGCGTTTTCACATTTCGTGTTATCGGGGGCCACACACGTTCAAGGGCCGCACTAAAGGCCACCAGGGGCCGTCAGTGACCCACGGGCCTTGCGATGAACACTGCTCTAGGAGGAAGTGGCGGTTCCCGTTCGATTGCGACAGACTGGATGTGGTGGAACCCATCGGCCACACAGCCTTCTGGGAGCGCAATATTCAGCAGCATTGGTTAAATACAAGAAAACGGTGGAATGGTTTCCACATTCAGTGTCTTGTCAGCAGTCAGGCTAGCTTTCATCAATGATTAATATTGTTATGAAAAGTTGAACAAAAACACCGGACAATGCTTTTCACTTCTAAAACGTTCGTTTTATTTTGCGACACATTTTCTCAGCCCGACGTCTTCGTCTCAAAAGGTCCTGGAAAGCGGAAAAAACAAGAGATTAACGCTGAAAATGACGGATAATTCATTGCTTCCTGTGGGCTTAGCACGGTTGGCTATGTACAGTGTGAGAAGTTCAACAAACATACGTACATAGAGGCAAGCCCTACAAAACCAGCAGCTCTTACAGCCATGAACACCCTGCACTGTCCAGATCACGTGGGGATGTTCCACAATCATCAGGAATGTGCAGCATGGAACATAACTTGTATTTGAATGGCGATAACTGGTAAACGTGGATGGTGGTGGTTTGGTAGTGGGGTGGTGGTTGGAAGGTGGTGGGTCGCAAGGCCCGATGCTTTAAACCCTGTACTGTGAGCCTTGTATTTGTCGCCATTTAAGCGTGTATACAGTGCACATGTGTATAGCGCATCAAAGTATAGTGTAAATGTGTTTCATGTCAGTGTGTACAGTCTGTACAAGCATTTTAATGTATGTTATATCACACCTATATGTTTGTATGCAAGTGTAGCATGTGGTGCTTATGTTGAACTTATATCCCATCATACGTACCAACCCGTGGAAATCGAAGGTGCGAATGTTGCGAGTTTGTATATATGTAATTTACGTGCGCAGTGTAAAGCTCAGTATTTGAACTGCAGAATAACCCCACCCAGGTCTACAAGAGGGGGTCCCCGTTTTGCACTGGAGGTTCCGTCACTCTCGAGAACCATTGCAAGCCGTCGGGACGCGTGCGTGCATGCGTGCGTTGCCGTGTGAGACTGTGGCGGTGCTGGCGGGAGCTGTGGGTCGTACTTTGAGACGATGGAGTCGTCCTTTGCCAGCCGCAGGATGCAATCGTCAGACTCGCCCTGCAATGGGGGAACAAAAAGACATTTTGTTTTTGCCCTCCATATCTTTTTTTATTGTTTGTCGTTTTATCGTTAAAAGAGCTTCGTAGCTCATCGGATTTCTTCAGGATAAAGATTCCGATTTCAAATCACACAAGGATTCCGCAACGCTTATTGACACATGACATCACAGTGACGTCATCGGGGGGGGGGGGTCAGCGGGAGTGGGGTGCGTGCTTCCCTCTAGGGCTGACAGTGTGAATCCTCTTAGCAGTGGTTTTTATATCGCTTAAGTTTTGGGAAACCACCTGTGATCAATGTGGCCGGTTTTCTACGCGGCAAGTTCCAAATTGTAATACAAAGGAACTCGAATTTTGTTCGTAACAGATCACCGTTATGAGAGTTATCATGCTTTCTCTGTTACAGATGGAGAGCCAACCGTTATTGGAAAGCATTACCAATAAAAAAACAACACACATGAACCTGCATCTCTGCGTGTGTGAGCGCAGTTTCTACTGCTGCTGTATGAACAGAATTCTGCAAAATACGGACACTACACTCTGCTATAGCTACCATGAATTTCACTTCCTTGATTAACTCCACCCACGCTGATAACTCGATATTCCAGACTGACGGTTTCATCTCATCCACGTTTATGTTGAGCCACCACACCTGCAGGTCACAGCACTGGGGCGCCACGGTCACGAGACGTTAACGACCTCGCCTCGTATACAGGAGTGCGTGGGTTCGATCCCGACCCTGACGCCTGAATATTTCGAGTTTGCATGTTCTCCCTGTGGTCACGTGGATGCTTCTCCGGGTCCTCCAGTTTTTGCCTCCACATGAGAGTATTTGGCTGATATAAATTTATTTGAGCTCTCATTTGCGGCCAATTCACGTCTGAAAAAAGAGATGTATAGCTCAGTGAGCCTTACCTGGTAAAATAAAAATAGTTAAAAGTTTAGTTTCACTTCTCATTCTGCTGTTGCCTTGCACTGCTCCACTTTGGAATTCCCTCCCATCGTCTTTTAAATTAATATTTTCCCCATGTCCTCTACAACCTTGCTTCGCTCAAGAAACGTTTGAAAACTCTGTTACACATTCATACGGTGCTATTTGTTGGCCTTGTGTGCCTGTGCTCAGCAATCACAATAAAAAAAACCCATCAAAGGACGGGATCTTTTTACCATCCTCCGGATGGGTCCGCAGATGGCGTAGGTCTTGTACTGGCCATTAAAACGGCCGGTGCTAGGGTCGACCTGCAGGTACAAATGAAAGAGACAAATATAAACAAATCTGCTCAATCAAGAGATACGATGGGAGACCTGGAGGACAAGAGGTACAGATTATACACAGCCGTCGCACCACGTGATGTCGCGGGGCACCTGACCGCGTGGCATATGATGTAATGCACCCCCCCCGCCCCCCGATGAGCACGGTTGGCTATGTACGGTCACGAAAGACGTTCCACATACATAAATCCATGTGACCCCCGTTGGCACATGCTCGTTTTATCGTGTGGGCCAATAGACAATGCAGCTGCTGGCATAAAGTTTTGTCACCATGTCGTTTCGTCCCTTGGCATCTCTATTCTGCCATGTTTATCCTCGTTTAAAATCACTAAAAAGTGTGAATGCCATTTAATTGCAATGATTAAGTTTTGTTTGTTTTTGAAATACGAAATTGTGGAATTCTGTGACGTCTACCGGCTGAGTCGCTATTGAGAAAGAGCTTCCTCAGCTTCAATGGGCTTTACCCGGGAAACACTTCTGATTCTGATAATAAATTCCGACATCTCCTTGCAAGAGACGCAAATCTCAGCACAACCGCACATCTCTCCGGCTCTGACCTCCGCGATGTTCATCTGTACAGAAGCGTGGTCTTTGGCAGCGATGATGCGGTTGCTGGCTGAGCTGCGCAGAACCACAACACAAAACAATTAACAGAGATTTCAAACCATAAACTTGAACAAATGGAAACTGTTGAATGTCGCATACGATGGACAGCCATGTAGATTAACCCACGCCACTGCGCGCAATTCGATTAATTGCCACAATATGGCATCACTTCATTTCAACAATTAACTACATAATTGGTACCGGCGCGTTTGTAAATAATTTCCGCACGTCCCGTCTTGTTACGTGCGATTAGCCTAACGAAAACACATTTGTATATCACGTGCTATTACAGTAAGACTTGAGAACCCAGTTTAATCACAGGGTGGAGGAAACCTGGCATCGAACCGAGGCTTCTCAGCGGCTCTGACACAGTGTCTTTAACACGGCATCAGGCCTCGGAGCCATGCACCCCCCCCCTCACACTTTTGCCTTTAAATAGACAAATGGAAAAGTTGTTCAACCACGGCCAATAAGTGTGTAACATATCAAGAGATCGGAGTGCATTTTCGAGGGGAGAGAAATACAAGGGTTGCCTGTGTAAGCACACACAAGACTGTAGGAAATGGTGTTAAACGAGCACCTATTCAGGCATCTTCGTCTCCCCATTGCACACTGCACCAGGTACTCATTTTAAGACAGAGTTGACCTCAGCAAGCCTCGCGAACGGTTCACACACAACTCGCCACCGACGTCAGCCGTGGTCCGGAATCGAACTCGTCACCGGTGCTCGGGCGCGAACCGTTGCGCCACTGCTTCCCACAACACAGCTACACGTGCCCGCGCGTGCGGATACGCACCATTTCCGCGGGACGTACAGGTCGACGAACTCGCCGGTGTCGTTCTGCATGTTGTTGTTGTTGATGTGTCAGATCCTGTGACAAACAGATGCACATCAACCCACGTAAACTTCATACCAAAATCTTGGCATTCAGAGAAATATTTCCCCAAATCAGCGATTACACTGCAGTCACAATATGGAAGATGAGGTGATCACAAATTCTTCGACTTACATCCTTCATAGGGTCCATCTCATACAAGAATGAGACCAAGCTTTATCTCTGCTTAACAAAGACTAGAGTGAATGAATGAGGCTGGCCCATGCCATAGAAATATAGAATTCAATCCACGCCAACAGACGAGCACCCTCTCAGCTCTCATTTGATTGATAGGAACACTTTTGTTCGTTTTGGGCTATTCCTAAGCTTTAAATATAATAAAAATAAATATTTACACCAAGGACTTCCGGTGAAGTTCATTTCATATTTTCCACCCATGATCATCCAATATAGGCCCATAGTGCTGCCGTTTGAGCTGTCAGCAGAGCCCCAGTGATGTAGATGAGAGTGCTCGTGACACACGCAAGCTTTTCGCGACCAATATTATTCATAATAAAGATTGTTTTGGGTTAAGAATGCGTAAATATAAGTGTCATTAACCCACCACTACCTGGCACGACCAATTAGTAAGGTTTATCACGTGAACAGAACGTGCGTGACCTCGTTACAACTTCAGAGAGAATTCTGCCAAATCGCCTGATGAATCTGGTTGTAATCACCAGCGAAACGTCATACTCAAAATTGGAAATGTCGTGGGTTTACTTTCCTACACACCGGTGTGCTGAAGTAGCAACTAATTGGCATGTTTTGTTCACGCGACAAACACTAATAATTGGCTGCGTCGGGTGGAGGTGGGTTAAGACATTCACGCCATCTCACCCAGAAGCCCGACTTCCGCTAAAGGCAGGCCCCGAGATTCCCAAAGCAGCGAAGAATCATCGCTTAAATGAACGCTGCTTACGGAACACTGCTCAATAATGCTCAGAGGCTGATTGGACCAGACAAAAAAAAATGTTCCTGTCTGTTCATTATCTGGTCATTACTCACGATCTCCCACGATGGGCGTAATTGAATTTACGTTCACCTTCAAGCGTGCCCGAGAAGCACTCGAGATAGGAATTGAGATGGCATCTTGATAGGGGCCATCCATTTAGTACGTACGCAGAAATCCGTCAAAACTTGCCCCCCCTCCCTGTACGCATGCGTACTTTTTACACACCCCTCCCCCCCTCGCATCCTATAGAACAGCCGATATTTAATCCACGCAGAAACGATCAAGGATTAATACTATTAACGTGTTTAAGCAAACAGTCCCCAGCTGGACTAACTCATTTGAAGGACAATGTAGACAAATTATTATCGAGGCTTCACCCCCCCCCCCCGTTTCCTATGCGTACGCACATTGTCAGTAAGCGTACGCATTTGGGTTAACCCCCACTCCCCCCTCCATGCGTACGTACTAAATGGATGGCCCCATCGAGCTAATGAAAGAATCATCACTTAATTCTGAAAACCACATCCCAGTGTTGGGAAAATGCTTAAACGAAGGATCTATTGTAACGGATTTTAAAGCCAATTCTTGCAAATTATTGCCAAGCATTAAAACGTCTCGAGCAATGATTTTCCAGAATAAGATTTAAATTGTCTCATTGTTTTTAAACGGGGAATCTGGTCATCATTGCCCACCGAAGGGAGGTGTTAAGTATATCTACGGATGGGAAGACTAATATATTCCACAAAACAGTATTAAATGTAAATAGATTTTTTAACTCTAAACGTTGATGAGTTCAGCCATAAAACCCTGGCTGGGGTTTGAACTTGTAAACTCCGGATTTCGCAATCAAGTACTGATGTTTTATTTAATAATCCTGAAAATGAAGCTTGTAAATTCCTCCACTCCAATTAACTGTATTTGATTCAGGATCGCAAATATATAAAATATTCCAATAAAATGTATTTATCTTTTTACCAACTCACTTTGTATTCTTTTTTACAATGTGAGTCCATGTCGCAATGTAATCTGATTATATTAGTATTCATGTCAAGGTGTCGATTCTCAGGGAAACGACGTATCCGTGAGAATCGTGGTCACTTACACGAGTTCACACGTAATTTGAAAATGGTTGCAGTTTATTTCACACTTTTAAGTACTTCCGTCTTAAACCTTGTGTGTGTAGCCCATCTCTGCTGTTTATAGGTCCGAGTCCAATTGTGGAATTGTTACATTCCAATGAAGGTGGGACGGTCCCCGGTTTCTTCCCACGAAGTTGGTATATATTTTATCGACCCCGGAGGGATGCTGATAATGGGGCGTGCTTTGACTAAATGCACGGTTTCGATGCGTTACGCTTCAATGGGTAGCGGCAATATTCCATTGGCATGTTTGCAGGATATATATTTTTTCCCCCGTTTGTCTTCGCGTCCTGTTTACATTCGCAATCTGCTCTTGGGTTTACGTATTTGTTCGTCATGTAGCCTTTATTCAGCACTGGACTGATAACGGGAATGTATTGTACACGATCATGAGTTTAGTTAAAAACAATTCAACATATTCGTGAAAACCACTGCCTTCAACGGAAACATTTAATAGGTCCCGCTTATTTTTTTCTAAGGGCCATTGCACGAAACGTCGGCTAGAATGTTTTCCCTTTTAAGGCAGTGTTTTGAGGCGTTCGGTTTTTATGTGATTGTGCACCAATGTCAACGCAATAATCACCAAACACTTTAATTACAGTTGAGTTTTGCATTTCATTTGCATTTTTGTCAAGTGAATGATGTACTTTTCCAGGTCTCTCTTGAGACTACTGTACTTGTACTGGTCTCGTTGAGCTCTCATAAATCTGACAATTGTCTACATCAATGATGTGGGAACGTGCGTTTCAGGCGAGAATTAACGTTATTACTTTTATAAACGAGGTTAACCTAAACCCGTGTGACTCCTTTTCATTGTTAAAGCCACATGTGACCGAGACGTTAAAGGCTCTACATATTTCATGTGTCTGTTACACTTGGGTGAGCTCACCCCGAGCTAAACATGCTCCGAGAGTACATCGTCTTTGTAGTTCGCCTTTTGGCGTTCTCTGGTCTGACACTGGTGAGACTGGTATAGGCCACTCAGTTTCAAACACAATGCACACATTATTTATCAGAGCATGTTTCGATTTAAAGCTTTCGTGACTGCAAGGACTCATCTTCTTTGGTTCGCTCGGTAAAGTCACGTAGAATGAGAAAATAATAAATTGATAAAATAACACAATAAAATTCTCACGACGTTTCAGTCTCGTCCCTTCACCTGATGAAGGCCGCTTGTGTTGTGGCCGAAACGTCGTGAGAATTGTGTTATTTTATTTTATCAATTTATTTTATTCTCATTCTACGTGACTTTACCGAAAGAACCAAAGACAGAGCATGTTTGTTTGTATGTTCACTACAAAAACGGTGTTTTTAATGCAGAATTGATTCCTTGATAAAGGTTTATTTTGGGTGTTTGAACATACACCTGCTTTATTGCCAGAAAAAGGGGGCAACACATTCGTATTGTTTTCATACTTCTCATTCAACCCCGCTGCGTTTAAACTCAAGTCACGTTAAACCCTTTCCTCTTATACCAACTTCGGCTCCATCCTCTCTCCACGCGCCTTCAAAACCACTTCACGTGACCAAATCGACGGCCGCGCGCCAGAAAGAAAAACCAGCGCTTCGCCAAAGCGCGCCGGTTCGTGGACTCAGTCGCAAAGAGCGACGTCAAAGATCGCAATTTGTGCGCGGTCCGCAAGTTACCCCAAACACACTCTTCAATAACAAAACCGCGCAAGTGCGCTTCGCTCAAAAGCTCTCTCCTTAAAAGTCCACCCTGCTGGAATCGCGTGCGCATTTTCAAGGCGGCTCAAAAGCGCACGCCTGGCTACTTTTCCGTTTTGTTCGAAACGGAACGCCGCTCAAAACGCACGCCGGGCGCTTTTATTACAACCCGACTTCTTTACTTTGTCGAAACCCGCAACGTCTTTAAAGGCCACGCTAGGTCGACGTTAAAGACGCGAATCTCCCTCCCCCCCTCGTCTCGGCCGCTAGCCCCACGTGGCGGCACGCGAGGCGGAGGCCGCCATAGGCCTCGGGCCTAGCCCGTGCCTCTGCGCGGCCCTCGCCACACGCCACACAACGCCGCCACCGCCGCCGCCACCTCCGCGCGAGTCTCGTAACGAGGAGGAGGAAGAGAGGACGAGAAGTAACAGAGGTGAAGGAGGCGAAAGACGAGGAGAGACACAGACGAGCAGTCGCGAGTGAGAACGGCGGCTGCCCACACTCACCGACTCCACACAGCGAAGAGGAAGAAAGGGAGGGCGGGAAAGGCGGAAGCACTCTTTGACCCCCCCCACCACAGCCCCCCTCCCCTCCCCCACAGCCCCTCCCCCGCGTTACCCACAGCCCCTCCCCCCACAACTCCTCCCCCCACAACTCCTCCCCCACCTCCTCTGCCATTCACTCGCCCAGCCTCCGTCCACGATCGAAATGTAAATTTTCGAGTGATGTCATCCGGCAGTGGGGGAGGGGCTGGGGGAGTGAGGGGGGGGGCGTTATGATTATATCAGAATATTTCAGAACCGGAATATTGATTGATCCTGGAGGAATCCGATGAGCTATAAAGCTCTTTTCTTCACAGATGTTCAGTTGGGGCGTGTAAGAACGTTACGACAACAAGAAAGGCCTTCAAAGGGTTTCTTTCCTTCCCCAACAGTTTGTTAAGGCTATAAGGGGGGGGGGGATCTTTGTCTATGTATGTGTGTATATGTCTGCGTGTGTCTGGATAACATGAACAAAACACCCCCGTGTGTGTATATGTAAGGGCCTCTTTAAATACCCATTGAGCGATTTATTGAGCGACCCATATAATGAGAGCCAAGCCTTCAATCCATCACTAGACACTCTCTCTCTCTTCGTGGCAGATACAATCTATTAAAACACGGAGAGTAATCTGTCATCTCTACCCACACACAACAACATGTGCGCGTGCGTGTGCAAGAGATACGCTCTGCAAAGTGATATCCAATAATCCAATATAACAGTGTAGATTCATGTAGTATATAGCATCTTAGGACGCTGGGCAGAGACAGTGGGTATATTAATTTTATATAGATCTCTGCATGTGCGTATATTTATGTCTCTATGTGAGTACCGTACATGGGTCTCTATGTTTGCCCATGGGTCTGTGTGAGTGTCAATAAAACGACGCTGTGGTAGGTCATAGGCGGAGGAAAATGCAAAGTGTGAGCCTGGAGATGAACAGGGAGTTGTGGGGAAGGAGATTCAGACTGTGGGAGCAGAATAATGAGTGGCCTCTTTAAAATTTGTGGTAAAGATTTGTGAAGTATTTAGTGGCAAATATTTCCCAAAAAGCCATCGGCAGCTCTGGGCATGAGTGTTGGTGCGCCGTGTGGTGAGTTTGATCGCGGTGTTGGTGAGCGGTGTGGTGAGTTTAGCAATGGTGTTGACGAGTTGTGTATCACGTCGCTTCACCATTGGTTTAGGGGCTTCTTTGGTTTGAGTGAACATACGAGAAGTTGTCACGGATGAACACACGGGCGGACATCGCGGATGGACACACGGAAACACGCGTTGGACATTTCCCGACCTCAGCAGTGAGTAGCCTTTCGTGACTCCCTCCGCAAACATTAATATGGATTAACGCGACCCGCGGGGTCATGACTCCGAAATTAAGGAAACCAAATTGACCACGCGCGGCGCAGCTGGGGCCACGTGCTCATGCGCGCGCGCGCGCGCGATGCCCTCGCTCACCCCAAGCGAGCCGGCTCTCATCAGATGGCAAAACCGAAGAAAAAATCGGAGGAAACACGAACTCCGCGCACGCACAAAGGTCTCAAACCGTGTCGTCCTCGTCACTGTGGTAACCCGCTGCTTGCGCGCCGCCAAACCACGCCGACGCGGAATGCGACGGAGAGCGATGTGCTCGGAGGCGGGGTTTATTTCTGTTTTGTTGTTGTTGTTGTCATTCAATGCACGTCACCTGCGGTGGCGTGGATGGGATACGCCGTGACCACCGACCACAGGCAATGGAAGGAAAGGTGAAGGGTGCTCAAAAGAAGCACGCGTCGGTGGCACCTCATCGGAATGATTACACCGAGAGGACGATAGGAGCAACTCGTGTACCAGAGACGATGTTAGCGGGTTGTTGATATCCCAGTGAACGTGGAACGTCGGGTGAACGTTGGGCCGACGTTGGTCCAACGGTTCCAACGTCGGGTTAACGTTGGGCCGACGTTGGTTCAACGGTTCCAACGTCGGGTCAACGTTGGACCAACGTTGCATGTTCACTGGGATGACTAAAAGAAAGTAAATTAGCTCGCGTGCAGGAGATATGTTGATTGCAACATCGCATAAACCGTGACAGATGGCGACAGCTTACGGCGGTCTTCATCGAGCAGTGGAATGAGCATGGCCGATGTTGAATAGCAAAGACAAAGACAACAGCAACAACGCCACCAACCACGTGCACAAGAACACGCGAAAAAAAACCAACACACCCCTCAACAACCGCAACAGCCCCAATTCTTCACAAAATGCGGGTGACGTCACCGCGGCGCTTGTGCCAGACTAGGTGCGCATGGCAGGTCGCAAGACGGATGTGTGTGTTTATGGGTTGGCTGACTGAGATGACTGGCAAGATGCGCTACCTGTGCTCTCGTCTGTATAAAAAAACACAAAGACACATTGACTCACACCCACACAATCCCAAACACAATCACAAAGACACCACAAACACATACAAAACCAAGACAAAGACACCCCCCCCCCCCCACCTTATAGCATTTATCAAGCTGTTGCGGCAAATGATGACCGAGATGACTGACAGAAGCACCGTCTCTGTACCCCTTACTGTGTCACCTCGCTGTGTTTTTATCGCCCGTCGCTCAGCTCGTTGTTGTGAGCGTCGCTCCCTCCGCCCTCCGTTGTTGCCGGAAGAGATTGCCTCCAACCGCCCAGGAGCGTGCTTCACGAGTTACCCCCAACACACGCACACACAACAATGAGAAAGACAAAGGATTCCTCGTGTAAGCCATACATTACGTTAGGGCAAGCGCTGTTATCGAACACATGGCTGACGGCCCGCGGTCGCCAGTTCTGAGACGGGTAAACACTGGTCACTGATCACAAACATTTAAGGCTGAGTTGACCTAGGCGAGGTCCAGGAACAGTTCAGATGTTTCCCGCTGGCGTTGGCCGCGGCCGGGAGTCGAACTTAGCGTGGGGTTGGATTCGTAGCGCAGTGCGAAGAAGGGAGGGAGGGAGGAGACGCGTGAGAGCGAACCGTCGCAAAAGCGGAGGACGTGGTATCAGCCCGTGTCGTTATGGCGGTGCCGCGTCTGTGTGCGTGCGTTGTGGTTTGCGCGCTGCACCACTAACCCCGGCCACCTGAGTTCGATTCCCTGACACGGCCGACAACCGCTTGAAAATACGTGAACCTGTCCTGGGCCTCCGCCCCCACGGTCGACTCAGCCTTAATTGAACACCGAGTGCGGTGTAAAAACACAAAAAACAAATCAGCATTGTGGAGACAAAGGCAGGCGGACGGCTTCTATAGGTGCTCGCTAACAGCACTTGCCCACACAACCCGTGTAGGCTAAACGGGGGATCGTCATCGTTGTCACTAACGCAGCTCACGGAACGTGTCAACAGCCGGGCGGGCAACGCAATCCGGCGAAGAATCATCGTTGGGGGAGACAAAGGTGGCCGGGCAAGGTGCTGGCCACAGTCACCCAATTCGTGCGTCCTGTCGGCCATAATAGACGCTCGCTGTGGCAGGGAGGCTGAGCCGGCACCGCTGATCGCCTGAGTTCGAATACAGGTCTCAGCACCTCACCTCCCCTCCCCGCCTAAACCGAGGTTTCAAGCGTACGGCGAGTTCATCGTCTCAGCCCGGCCACGATTTTTTTAAATTTTTTTACTAGGTAAGGCCCACTGAGCTACAAAGCTCGTTTTTCAGAAGCGACATGGCCACAAATGATAGCTCAGCGAAGTGGCTTATCGTGTGGACATTTACAGCAGCCAAATCATTTGAACGCATTTGGAATCGAAATGTGGAGGGAGAAACCACGGGGAGAACGTGCAAATGACTGCACAACAGACATTTGTATTTTCAGAGGGCGACGGCTTTGTCGAAGACTTCAACATAGCAGCGGATTGATCATGGCTGCTGCTGCTGATGATGATGGACTTAATTGTTAAGTGTCAGGCCACGGCATTAGCGCCGTCTGTTCACGCGTCGTGTTACGGACCGAAGGCAGCTGCCGGTCATTCTGTCCATGGAGACACGTGGTGTGGATCATGTGTGTGTGTGTCTGGGCGTGTCTGTCAGTCTGTTAAGGCTATATGGGGGATCTTTGTCTGTCGTGTGCACAGTGGAGGATGTGCGGTGGGCTCGGCGACCCGACTTCGACACCCGCTCATGGCCAGTGACAGGGGAGATTATCTGAATCCGTCCTGGGCCTCCCCTGGGTCGACTCAGCATCAAATTAGTATATGGTGCGGTGTGTAAAAGAATCGCCACTGAGGAGATAAAGACGGGCGGGCGTGGTGCTGGCCACCCACCCCCCCGTGTGCCGTGCCGGCCCTCGTAGGTGCTCGCCGCGAACAGCACTTGCCCAAACAGTCTGCTAAGGCTATAACGTGGTGGGCAGCGCAATGCGATACGAACCGGACCCCATTCACCTCCGAATTTGATTCCAGGCTACAGATATGACACATATATATGTATAACCGACCAGTAGAGAATAGGTTTTAAATCGCACTTGGGAGACAAAGGCGGTCCAGCCTGGTGCATACCCACACCACCCCATGGCGCGCAGCACCGGCCTTCATATTTGATCGCTCGCAGAATGTTTCCCAACTTATTCAGGGTATACTTAGCGCGAGTGTGTGGCATATGTGATGTATAGTGTGTGGCGTATAGTGTGTGGTGTATAGTGTATGGTGTATAGTGTGTGGTGTATAGTGTGTGGTGTATAGTGTGCGGTGTATAGTGTATGGTGTATGCGGTCTGTTGTGTGCGTGGTGTGTGGTGTATGTGGTATGTCGTGTGTGTAACGTACACTTAATAATGCTAATGATTTACAGCCCTTTGTCAATTCACTGCTTTGTGTGATCGAGGGAGATGGCGAGGGAGATGGCGATGGAGAGTGCGTTGGAGGGGAGGAGGGGTTGGAGGCTGGAAGGATGGTAGGGATTGGGGGGTGGTGGGAGTGGGGGTGGTGGTGGGAGCAGGGGGGGAGGGCTGATGGAGAGTGTGAACTGTGAAGAAGCGTACGCCAAAAAAAAATCCACAAAAGACTTCAGCCTTGCCCCTTAGCCACCAGGCTCCCTCTCCCTTCCCCATCCCCCATCTCACCCCCATCACCCCCTCCCGTTTGTAAAGCCATTACATCATCTCAAAGGAATGCTATTGTCTTCTCCACGGTTCCCAGCTTTTCCAACCGCCAGAGCTCGTTGTTGTGGAGGGGGATGAAGGGGTGGGAGGGTTGAGGAGGAGGTGGTCGGGGGGGAGAGCTGGGACGCCTTCAAACAATACGTACGTGCTGGGAGACTCGTCGGGGATGCATCACAAATAATACTTGAATTTTGTCTGTGCGGACGGACAGATATGGGAGGATACGGAGAGGCTCGTGACGTCTGCTTACTTGTTCTCGAGAAACATCATTATTCAACGTCATTCATCCAGCTGTGGCCGATGACGACGAAGGTGCTCGGGCTGAGACCATCACCTCGCTGCGCATGGAGCGCGCGCTTTAACCACAACACCCGGATTCGAACTCAGGTTTCTCAGCGTTGCAGGGCTCAGAGTCTCTTAACACGGCCATTATGAACGCCACCACAACCTCCCCACGCCGCCACTATACCACGTGCATCAACTCTTCTTGATCTGTCTTTCACCATTGGCCATCGAAGTGCACGATTTAAGCGTAGCTGTCGAGAGTGCGCAGGCTGTACAACTGCACGGGAGCCGACGAATACGGAGGGTCGAATCCAGTAAATCCTCGTTTAACGCGCGTTCACACTACGCGTTTTCGCTATAACGCGTTTTCTTTATTTTATGGAACCTTTTACGCTTAACGCATGGGGCGGTGTATTGGAAGCCCCCCACCCACCCAGTCGCCCCCCCCCCGCCATTTAATTCCACCAGACATCTGTGAACCTACTGGACAATAGCTTTATAGCTCATCGGATTCCTCCAGTCGAAATACATATTCGCATTTCCACGAAGTGAGGAGGGTACACATCACCGACGAGACCCTGGCGGCATCGTTGCAATCCGTTCAGCATCTACTGGCGCCTTGGGTTGGTCGAAGGGCCTTGGCATTCAACGTTGACATCATCTACACAAATGGTTGCTTACATGCCATGCGGAAGAAGAAGCGGAAGAGGAGGAGGAGGAAGACGAAGATACTCCGACCTCTCCCAAGACGCTTGGCCGGCGCGGAAGGGTGGTTCAAGCCGCCCTGTGAGTGCGTCGGTCGCCTCCACGAGGGTTTCTCGAGTGGAGGGAGGCCCATGTCACAGCGGGGCAGTTGCAGTCCTGCACTTTTACCTTTGACACGGGGCCCACGCCCACGACGCGATGCTGATGGAGTGTGTTTCACTCAATGTCTAGGAAATTATCTTTACGAGCGCCATAAAGTGTGCTGTTTGCTCTCTCTCTCTCGCGTGTCTGTCTCTGTGCGTCTCCGCGCTCTTTTCTCGCAACAATGACAAAGATCCCCCGTACGGCCTTCACATATTTATTTTTGGCAAGTGCCGTTCGCTGGTACGCGGCATACTAGGAGGTGTGTGGCCAGCACCACCCCCCGGCCGCCTTTGTCTCCCCAATGGCGATGTTTACACATCACACCGGGTACTTTTTTTAGGCTGAATGGACTTAGGGGAGGCCCTGGACCGGTTCAGATAAGTGCCACTTGTGTTGGCCGTCTGCAGGGACGAACTCTGGTCGCTGGGTTCGTAGCACAGCGCAGCGCGCTAACCGCTGCGCCACCGCTCCACACGCAAATCCCACAGTTTACCTTCACAGGCAGCTGGGGCAAGTGCTGTTAGCGAACGCCATTGAAGGCCGTCTGGCCATCTTTGTCTCTCCATTGCTAATATTTACACACACCACACCACGTGTTCATTTTAATCCTGAGTTGACATTCGGGGTGGTGCAGGTTCTATTCATGGACGAAGGCCTCCCTGCCAACGCTATGGGGGTTTTTTTCACCGTACTTTTTTGTCACCATATTTCACCGCGTTGAGCAGTGGCGGGTTCTAATTATTCGTACCAAATTTCAGCTCTCACCCTACGAGAACGTCACTGGCACGTCCATCACTCATGAAGTTGCAACTCATCACCCACCATAGCACGCTGGGGGGGGGGGGGTCTATGTCCTGTGACCTCCTGCCAGCGAGCCTTCGACACATCACGTGGCCTCAACGTACATGCACCTAGCCTGGCACCGAATAAGCACACGGCGCCAGGGTGCCGTCACCGCCGCTGAGTGGCGACTGGCGGACTGCTGTTACCTATGATGTCGTCCGGTCACCGGTGAGTCACACACCATTGCAATTCTTTGGTGATTAGACTGCGTTGGCGGTGGTAAAATGGCACAGTCAACAACAGCAGGCTCAACACATTCGCCACCAATCACACTGCCCGAGATGGAAACGCGCGCAAAACAGTTGACGGTTCGGGCAACGGCCCATCCCTTTCATTCTTCCCATTCCCTTGTGCCCTCGCCCAGCGGGGCGGATGAAGATAGCGTCAGGGTTAACCATTACCCGACCCCTCCACAATTCGCGCTTGAGCCAACAGATAAATGTTTGGACAAAAGCTGCCGGGGAATTAAGCAACACACACACCGCCCCGCGAGTTCGAAACCGGTTCAAGCCGCCCGGCAGTGATTAAACGATGATGTAAATGTCGCGGATTCACTCTCCAACACACCGGTGGGCTGTAGTAGTAAACTAATTGGCGCGTTGTTAACGTGACAAACCTTACTGACCGTGTCGGGTGGTGGAGGGTGACGCCGCATTTATACTTATCGTGAATAATATTGGTCGCGAAAGCCGACGCGTTAAACTTATTCAACTGGCTGCTCAAGTCTAACGCTCTAACGCAGTGACTGTTATAGCCTCGACAGGCTTCTTGGGTGCAAGTGCTGTTAGCAACCACCCATGAAGGCCGACACAGTAACACGGAAGGGGAGGGTGGATAGCACCACGCTCGACCGTCTTTGTCTCCCTCGTATCGAGGGAGACAAAGACGCCGCACCGGGTCCTCATTTTGAAGGCTGAGTCGACCGAGGGGAGGCCCAGGAGCGGTTCAGATCATCGTCACCGGTGTTGGCCGTGAGCGGGAATCGAACTCGGAGACGCCGGGTTCGTACCACAGCGCGCTAACTGTTGCGCCACCGCTCCCCCACCAGAGACAAAGATCCCCCGTGTAGCATTAACAGACTGTTGGGGCAAGTGCTGTTAGCGAGGACCTATGAAGGCCGACGGCTCCCAGGCAAGCACACATACACGCACACAACTAGTATGAACGCAAAGTTTGTCAACTTCTTATCATCATCATCTTATTCCAGCATTGTCTATCCACTGCTGGATGGAGCCCTCCCAACGCCGTGGCCGTACCTCGCGGTCCACCCTAAACCGCATTGACTGCACAAACCGTGGCATCAGATGCGGACACTCGAAGCACGACTGGAAATTCCAAACTCTCCAGCGGTGTGCCACTCTGGTTATCCAGAGCAGGACCGTACAGCCGCAAAGCGACGCAACGGCCCGATCCACAGACACGCCAGGAGACATCGCAAGCGATGCGCTCCTCCCCTTCTCCTGGCCACCCGAATGTGAGACTGGAGCCGTAGCTCAGCTTCGACACCATCGGCCGTGCGAGAGAGGAGAAGACGGCCCAGTGTTGCATCGATTTTTAATCGCTCCAAATATAAATTTCGCGGGGGTCGTCCTCCTGGTGACTTGTCGCTCTGTTGACTGTCATTCCCATCACAGACTGGCAGGCAGATTTGTATGCATACTCTTTGGTTCTTTCGGTAAGTCACGTAGGTAGAAATAAAACAGAATAAATCACGACGTTTCGATAGCAACACAAGCCATCGTCTTCTGTGTTGCTCTCGAATGGTTTGTGTTGCTATCGAAACGTCTTGATTTAGTTTGTTTTATTTCTACCTACGTGACTTAGCGAAAGAACCAAAAAGTATGGATTCCTGCAGTCACGAAAGCTTCAAATCAAGATTTGTACTTATTTCATCACGAAGTGGCCCCAGCAGGCTGTTGTTAGGCTCTATTTCATGAGCATCGGTTCAACTCTGGGTCGGGTTCAACATTCAGTGTCTCATCAGCAGTCAGGCTTTCTTGAACCTTTGCTGTTATCCGTTGTTGCTGGGAATCGAACTCAGATCCCCCACCACCACCACCCATCTTCATTCCACCCCACCACTCCCACCTCACATCCCTTCCACCAACCCCGACACTTCCTCCTCCGTGAACTCCCTCAATAACGACCGTAGCAGGCCAGGGATGAACGAGGGAAACGGGGGGGGGGGTGAGAAGGGGGGGTAGAGGGGATGGGGAGTGCACGGAAGTTGAGTGGTTGAGATGGAGGGACAGCTCGTGTCCGCTGATGACAGAGTTGCTCATCTTTGCGCTCCTCACCGCTTCGCCCTCTGCCGACATCGATTCACTTTCTCTCTCTCCGCTTTTGGGAGAGTTTGGGGGTGGGGTTGTGAAGTTGTAGGGGCGGGGGGGGTTGAGGGTGGGGGCGGCGTCGGCCCGGGGGGGGGGGAATCGACAATTCCAGGAGAAAGGTTCACCGAGTCTCAAGATTCATTTTGAGAAAGGCGCCGCCACGTTGGGACGTGTCGCCGGTCTCTTCGACAATATTTCTGCGAGTGTTTTGCTTCCATGCGCCGGGTGGGGTATACACGTGGGGGGGGGGGGGGAGACCACCACGCACACGAGAGGTTCGCGACGTCAACTCCTCCGATGCACGTATTCAGTCGCGAACCCACTCGCTGCAACTGCCATCTCCCGACCACCTCGTATAGCCGAGTGACGTTAACGCCCGCTGCCGCTGCTACCAACCACTGCTGCTCCCACTGTCACCGCTGGTGCATGCACGCGCGTGCGTACGTTGACCTTCTTTAGCGTCGCACGCACCCACACCGTGCTCATCATCGGAGGTGCCCGTTACTACGACTGACACCGAAAACGCGAAGCCGGCAACACTTACACACGTGGTCGTGGGAACGGGGCCATGCGGGGGGTCAAAATAACTGAACCCGACATCTCTGGAGGAAGCCACCATGGCGGGGGTGGGGGGGGCTGAGAGGGGGGGGGGGCTATTAGAGAGGAGAGTGTCTCGTTTGGAGATAACTCGTGTTCTTAAGGTCGCTGCAGTTGCGTCACCGATTTAAAACACACACATACAAACTCCCGAGCGAATGCGGGGGACGGGAAACGAGACGAAACTGATCAGGTCGCCTCCCTCCGCCTCCTCCGCCTCTTCCTCCTCTTCCTTCTACGGCAAGGCCATCGGAATGCGCGACGCGTCCTTCACTGCGGCAGCAGCAGCCGCGACCTTGCAAAGCCCCGCTCACTCCCCTGTCTCCCCCACAAAGACAAAGAACCCTCCGTAGAGCCTTTAACAGACTGTTGGGGCCAGTGCTGTTAGCGAGCAGCACCCTGTGATGGCCGGCCTCGGGACAAGAGGGGGGTTTGGTGGACAGCACTAAGCCTGGCCGCCTTTGTCTCACCAGTGGCTATGATTTTTTTTACACACCGCATTCATTTGAGGCCGAGTGACCTAGGGAGGCCCAAGACCGGTTCAGATAATCGTCACTCGGATCGCCGGGTTCGTAGTGCAGCGCGCTCACCGCTATCATGTGCGCTACCGCTCCCCACTCTGTCTCCCCAGCACACTGACCCTCCCTCGACTCCCTTTGCCCGCCACCCACCCACCCACCCACGCACTCCCACACAGTCCCCAACCCTCCCCCTGACACACACACATCATCCCTCCACTCCGTCTGTCTCCCACCCACGCACACCCTCTACCCCCTCCTCTACCCCCCACGTTTCATCGGCTTAACTCAATTGTTGCTCCCCATTACGCGACTCGCTCCTCTGTTGCCCCTACCCCCAGCTTCAAAACTTGCGCCCCCCCCCCCCCACCGTTTCCCTCCCCCGGCCCTGGATCCCACCCTAAAGGTCGACTCCCTCCTGAGATCCCACCCAGCCCCCTACCCTTGGCACCATCGCACAGCCTCCCTTCCCACATCCCTCCCCATGAACTCCCCGCATCAGCACACGCACCCATGACCCCTCCCTCCCTCCCTCCCCATGACCCCTCCCTGCCTCCCCCATGTACCCTCTTCCTCTCCGCTTCCCATGTATGTTCTATTCATGTTTAATTTCTTTCGCACCGCACGTGGCCGACCGTGCTAATCGGAGGTGCGGGGGAAGGACAACAGACTAAACACACAAAGCAGTTACTGAAGAGAAG